CCCCGCTGCCTGCCACGCACACCGGGGAGCCCGAATTAGCGAGCTGCTCACACGTGGCGCCAGCTTGTGAATTTGGGGTGACCGGTCTCCGTTTGCTCTTGGCCCAGGCTGGGTAACGCTGTTTTCCAGCAGCGACCGGCCCCGCACGTGGTCCTTCTGCAGGAGGTGGCACACCGTGGCGTGGTGCGGCACTTGGCAGGTGAGATCTCTGGTGCACACTGGCAGCGCCCGTGCTGCAGGGCGTGCATAATGGCACATGGCTGTCGCTCTCCAAGAGGCCCTTAAGTAACATGGCATTTGGGCCTGGGCTGCTGGCAGTGAAGCCAACGTCTTCTCCTCAAGGGTGCCCTCAGTCCCAGGCAGGCTGTGGGCTAGGGAGGAGAAGGCACTTGTAAGGGACAGCAGACCAGTCTCTTCCACTGACTTCCCCAGGGACCTGCCCATGTCAGGCCAGAGGATAGCAGGAGAGAGGCACAGGCTTGACCACTGTCCCTGCAGGCTGAGTATGGTTTGTGAGCCAAAGCTAGGCCTGATCTAACCTAAATGTCTTTAACTGCAACACAACCCCATTCCTTGTCCAGTGCAGAAAGGGATCTGACTATTTTCTCCTTCCAGTCTTGTCTTTTCCTGCCTTCATTTTTCCCTTCACCACCACAAGCCAGCTCTTGCAAGCTTAGCATACACCTTGCATTCCCTCAGCTTAGATTTATTTTTCTCACTTCCTTTTAGATTGTCCCAAATTTCACTCCATCTCTTAGGGCATGGTACCCAATGCAGGACACATTTCTCTAGCTGGTGCCTTGCCGGTGGTGGCAGGATGACTTCACGTGCTGACCTCTGATGCTCCTGCTCCCACAGCCAAAGCTTTGTTAGCTTATTTAGCAACCCTCTAGCACTGCTGACTTGTGTTCAGCTGCGGCTCCACAAGGCCTCCCGGACCCGGCAGCTGTCTGGGCGCTTGCTGACTTGTCCCCTTTGCACAGCCACGTGCTCCTGCCTGTGTGGCCCCCTTCTCAGTTGGCTTTTCTTTGCCTGGAACTGTGTGCCCCAGTGGCCACAAGCACTGGAAATCCCAGTCCCACCAGCACTCTCCTCCCATCCTAGCTCGGTGTCGTCTTCTGCCAAACTCATTCAGTTACTGCCTACGCTGTCACCCTGATTAATAAGGACAATATTGGCAGAGTCAGCACAGCCCTAACAAGACCCATCCTGCCACTGCCAGGACAGAGTTACCAAGACATCCGCCAACATGGTGGAGGACAGGAGAAGTGAGGGGAAAGGTGGCAGGTCTTCTACAAGAACTGTGCAAAGCACCTGAACTCTGCCTGAGCACTAGTGCAGTTATTTGGGATAAAGGGATCATAGTTTGTTCTACCTAGCAAAGCTTGCACTGGCAGATTACTGCTCCCTGCCCATCATCCACACCTTGCAGCGTGAGGGACAGACACATGCCAGTTAGGGCTATACCACAGTCCTCACCAGCAGTCACCCACTGAAGGTTACTGGGTTCTTCCCAATTAAATCACCGCGTGCTGAGAGGGAGGAGGAGAGGCCCAGGAACTCCCCCACCTTGCAGGACCTTTTGGCGGGGCAGGCTGCAGTGCTGAGGGACAAGGCCCCACCATGGGACAATGGCGCCTGTTGACAGAGGCTCTTCCACCTCTTCACAAGCACATCCTGGGAAAGCACAGAGCCCTCAGATCATGCAGATAATTTAGGGAAAGTCCCAGAGGTGGGGCAGAGGGAATAAAGCTAGATTACCTTTTCAAACTGATGACCTCAGCATCTGTTAAATACCATGTAGCTCTTATCTGGCTGGGGAACCAACACCTTCCTGTTCCTGTCATGCCCAGAGCAAGCTTTAGAGATAAGACACACTGAGAACATGGACCACCAGAGCAATAGCCAGAGCATCCTCTCTGAGGACTGCTGCAGAAGCATTCCCCTCCCTCTCCTTCTCCCTCTCCCCCAGAAGCCAACTGCTGACATTCTGGTGCTGTTTTTCCCCAGTCTGTGACTGAGAAGCACATTATCACTCACATCTTGAAGAGGAGAGACAGAGTGTCCCTGTGAGAGAAATTGCTGTGACAGACCCAGCAGCATCAGGGGAAGACCTGAGTCCCTGTACCTGAGGGCCTGGGATCTTTGGATATCCAGCCACGACCCCAGGGAGGAAGTTCATAATGAAGAGTCCTGGCACTTCTGGAAACTGAGACAGGGACCCTCTGGGGGGGTCTAGAGCTGCCCTAGTCCTACCCCAGCATGTCCTGAGCTCACTGCACTGATTCTGTGGGTGCTGGTGCTGGCCAAGTCCTGGCTAGAGAGCAGAGGGGCAGGTCTCTTGGGAGTTGCAAATGATTTACTACCTTTCTACTTCTATCTACCCAGTTTCTCTAACCAAATCAGTTTAGATGAAGATCTATCTGCAGAGCAATTCCATCAGCTAAACCTGCACAGTCCTATGTTCCACAGTACTTTGTTTTTTTCTGTTCATTCCTGGCCATGTCATTCCAAATAATCCATGAAATTCCCATTTTATAGATAGGGAAGGTAAGAGCAGGACAAGTGACCTTTTCAAATGCCAGAGGTTGGCATCAGTGTTTGGATTAGATGGTACACGTGCTGGATACTCAAAGATGAGCCAATCACATGGCTGAACTAGCTCTTCAAGGATAAGCTTGACTGATTGAGAAGGAGGAGTCTGGGCCCTGCCGGTCCCTGCCAACACTGAGTGTTTGCACACCAGCTAGCTGTTATCTATTCCAGTACTTTCCAGACCCATTCTACCCCAGCATTCAGGCACAGTAGCTGGAGTCCTGGGGGCGGGGGGGGTCCCGTGGGGAGGGCATATTTCAGAAGTTGTGGGGGCTTTTGCAGGACAGTGCAGTCCCCCACTGGTGGTCTGAAAGGTGCCCTGCTGATGGGCATCCCCCAGAGCTGCACAGCCTGGGGCAGGTCCTGCACGCAGCTGAGACTTTGCTGGGCCAGGGCAAGGTAAGCTTTCCCAGGGTCTGCCTGCATGTTATTTTTTTCTGTTCAGGGAAGCTCTTCAAGTTTTAGGGTTGCTAATCTTTACTTGAAATTCTTTTTGCAAAGTTGTTATTCCCAAGGCATGATACAAAGCCAGCAGACTATTTAAAAAAGAAAAAAGTAGGATGTCACAATGGAGAAATAAAGCAAAACCTCAGAGCTGAGATGTCCCCAGTGCCAAGGAAAACCAGACAGTTACCTCATGTGTCTTTCATATGCCAGTATTTCTAAATCTACAGTTTGCTGTGCTCACAGTAGCATGATGCTGTGAGCATGTGCTTCACTGTTGCCCCCAGACCCTTATCTGCAGAACTGCTGCCTCACCAAATTACTATCCCAGTGTAGATTTGGGCAGTTGGCTCTTCCGCTCTCAAGCTAGAACTTTGTATTTACCTATTTATTTCAATCTATGTATCCCATTTGCCAAGATCTTACTGGAAATCTAAGCAGGGTGACCTCCAACACATTTTCCACTCTTCGTAGTTTATTATAGTCTGAAAAAGTAAGGAAGCTTGATCTATCTTCCACCACACACATCAGAAGGGAAACTCTGAGCAGTCCTGTCTCAGGTGTGGATCCCTCGACCATTCCAGAAGCCCTCAAATTGTAAGTGGATGCTCTTAGCATGATTTCAACCACCCTGACATCTGTTGGCAAGACAGCACAGCTAGGCACAAACAGTCAAAGAGGTTCCTGCAGAGCATTGAGGATAATTTCTTGACTCAGGTGGTGGAGACGCCAACGAGGACAGTTGCAATGCTAGACCTTGTACTAACGAACAAAGAAGGTCTAGTTGGAGATGTGAAGGTTGGGGGCAGCCTTGGCTGCAGTGACCATGAGATGGTGGAGTTCAGGATCCTACGAGGAGGGAGCAGGGCAATGAGTAGGATTGCAACGCTGGACTTCAGGAGAGCTGACTTTGGCCTCTTCGGGGACCTACTTAGGGGAATCTCCTGGGGTAGGGCCCTAGAAGGAAGAGGGGTCCAAGAGAGCTGGTTAATATTCAAGCGTCACTTCCTCCAGGCTCAGGATCAGTGCATCCCTCTGAGGAAGAAGTTCAGCAAAGCGGGCAGGAGACCTGCATGGATGAGCAAGGAACTCCTGGCCAAACTCCAGCAGAAGAAGGAAGTGTACAGAATGTGGAAAAGGGGACAGGCCACTTGGGAGGAATACAGGGACGTTGTCAGAGCGTGCAGGGATGCGACAAGGAAGGCTAAGGCCCAGTTGGAATTAAATCTGGCAAGGGATGTCAAGGACAACAAGAAGGCCTTCTTCAAATACATCAATAGCAAAAGGAAGACTAGGGAAAACGTGGGCCCGCTGCTGAAAGGGGCGGGTGCCCTGGTGACAAAGGATACAGAGAAGGCAGAGTTATTGAATGCCTTCTTTGCTTCTGTCTTCACTGCTAAGGCCAGTCCTGAGGAATTCCAGACCTTGGAGACAAGAGAGGAAGGCTGGAGAAAGGAAGACTCTCCCTTGGTTGAGGAGGATCGGGTTAGAGATCTTTTGTCCAAACTTGACATCCACAAATCCATGGGCCCCGATGGGATGCACCCACGAGTGCTGAGGGAGCTGGCGGATGTTATCGCTAGGCCTCTCTCCATCATCTTTGAAAGGTCCTGGAGATCAGGAGAGGTGCCTGAGGACTGGAAGAAAGCCAATGTCACGCCAGTCTTCAAAAAGGGCAAGAAGGAGGAGCCAGGAAACTACAGGCCTGTCAGCCTCACCTCCATCCCGGGAAAGGTGATGGAACAGCTCATCCTGGAGGTCATCACTAAGCATCTGGAGGACAAGAAGGTGATCAGGAGTAGTCAGCATGGATTCACCAAAGGGAAATCATGCTTGACCAATCTGATAGCCTTCTATGACAGAATGACTGGCTGGGTAGATGAGGGCAGAGCAGTGGATGTTGTCTTTCTGGACTTCAGCAAGGCTTTTGACACTGTCTCCCATCACATCCTCCTAGGTAAGCTCAGGAAGTGTGGGCTAGATGAGTGGACGGTGAGGTGGCTTGAGAACTGGCTGGATGGCCGAGCTCAGAGGGTTGTGGTGAATGGCGCAGAGTCAAGTTGGAGGCCTGTGGCTAGTGGTGTCCCCCAGGGGTCAGTCCTGGGCCCAGTCTTGTTCAATATATTCATCAATGACCTGGAGGAAGGGACAGAGTGCACCCTCAGCAAGTTGGCTGATGATACTAAACTGGGGGGAGAGGCTAACACACCAGAAGACTGTGCTGCCATTCAGAGGGACCTGGACAGGCTGGAGAGGTGGGCGGAGAGGAACCTCATGAAGTTCAACAAAGGCAAGTGCAAGGTCCTGCACCTAGGCAGGAATAATCCCATGCACCAGTACAGGCTGGGGACTGACCTGTTGGAAAGTAGCTCTGCCGAGAAGGACCTGGGAGTGCTGGTGGACAACAAGTTAAACATGAGCCAGCAGTGTGCCCTTGTGGCCAAGAAGGCCAATGGGATCCTAGGGTGCATTAGGCAGAGTGTTGCCAGCAGGTCGAGGGAGGTGATCCTGCCCCTCTATTCAGCCCTGGTGAGGCCTCACCTGGAGTACTGTGTCCAGTTCTGGGCTCCCCAGTCCAAGAGAGACATGGCACTCCTGGAGAGAGTCCAGCGGAGGGCTACCAAGATGATTAGAGGGCTGGAGCATGTCTCCTCTGAAGAAAGGCTGCAAGAGCTGGGCCTGCTGAGCCTGGAGAAGAGAAGATTGAGAGGGGATCTCATCAACGTGTACAAGTATGTGAAGGGGGAGTGTCAAGAGGATGAAGCCAGCCTCTTCTCCGTGGTGCCCAGCAACAGGACAAGAGGCAATGGGCAGAAACTGAACCACAGGAAGTTCCATCTGAACCTGAGAAAAAACTTCTTCACTGTGAGGGTGACAGAGCATTGGAACAGGTTGCCCAGAGAGGTGGTGGAGTCTCCTTCCCTGGAGATATCCAAAACCCGTCTGGATGTGATCCTGGGCAATATGCTCTAGGTGACCCTGCTTGAGCAGGGAGGTTGGACTAGATGATCTCCAGAGGTCCCTTCCAACCTAAACGATTCTGTGAATCTGTGAATCTTGACCCCCTTTCCCCTGCTCCAACCTATGGGCAGACACCAGCAAGCAAGGAGGAACAGAAGGGTTAAGTCTGTGGCTCAACCTTGCCTGGTTAGGTGCAACTCCACTTTTCTCATGGACTTCACCTGAGGGATGAGCTTAGCCTTGAGAATGGATAATAAATACAGACAAGTGGGGAGGAGACCATACAACTCATTTGCTGTTTAACAGAAGAACAATGTGAGGTACCACAGAATAGCAGACTGCAGATACCCTCTTTCAGAGGCAAATTTCATCCTGACCTATGTATGGCTACCTACCTCTTTAAAGTCATTCTGGGTTTTCCTTAACCTGTAAATGGGATGAGTTGGTTAGATGGTCTTTGAAGGATTTGGAGTGAGACCTGGACAATCCTAGGAGAGGTAACTAATGCCATGACGTGTGGGATTGGAGCTAAGAGCTGGCAGAGGACATTGCACTCCAAGAACAAGGTCATAGTGTAGAGCTGGTGAAAATATCTGACAGGGCTAACTGATAAGTGAAAAGCTTCCCTGGCGGGTTTATGTCATCGAGGAGATTCTTCCTGAGCTCTTGAAAAAGAAAAGGAGGGTTTATGTGTTTGCAAGCACAGCATATTTACATACAAGGCTGATATACTGGCTTGACAGCTCTTCCCAAAGGGGCTTATATTGCCTTCCAGATTTATGCACCCAGAGAGAGGATGGATGGCTTTTCTCCTTTGCCTCTAAGCACTAGTACCAGAGAGAATTTATGACAGAATAAGAGGGAGGAACTGTCAGTGTTCAGGCCATGGAGGTGACTTAGTGAAAATCTTTATACGGTCAGAGACTAACAGTGCAGGAGAGGCAACAGTGAGGGACCGCGGTGATAACATTTGCAGGGCAAATCATATATATTTGCAGTACACTGGGGTCTTGGTCTTTCTGGCAGAATCTAGGCTTCCCTACTGGGGCGCACCTTGGATTCCTGGTCTCTTCAGTGTCCAGACCAGACCTGTCAGGGAACACAGCAGTTCCCACTTGGGCCATGTTCCCAGTTTTTTTCTGTGAGGGACATGTTGGTAAGAATTGGGTCTTGTCATGAGCGGGCACAGCCAGGGGTATGCATCCTGACCCAGGAACAAGGGAGCTCACCTTTCCCATTCCCTGATGCAGATGTGGCTTATGAGCTCCCTAAAGCCTTCTGCCTTCAGTAGTCCTGATAAAACAGTAAGCCACTCCATAACAGGTTGCCCTCTGGAGTTGATTTTTGTGTTTCCAGCTGATGTCATTCAGTGAGCAAACCAACTGCTGTGTCACACTTCCCCTCTTGCCTATAATGCAACTCTTATTCAAGCCACAGAAAAGCCGAGAAAGAGCAACAGGCTCCCTGGGCAAGTCTGCAGAAGACCCTGAGCCCAAGGGCCTGGTGAATCCCACCTCTGCCTGCTGTGGAAGATTTCCACACCAGAAAGAACAGCACAAGGGAAGGAAGCACCATGTTCCCTGTGACGGTTCACTGTTGAAATGAGCTTCCTGGCATCCTTTTACAGGTCCAGACAATTTGGATCCCACCTTCACAGCCTGTCCTATCTTTGGGGGGGGCCCTATCTCTGCAAGGTCGGTTTGCTGCTGCTCCTGTTGGGCACAGTGTGTGGCGGCCCATGCAGCTGTGTATCCTCTTTTTGTATGTCTTCTGCATCATTGCTTTCTCCCCAGTGCCTTCACTGGCAATAGCAGTCTGGGCATTTGGGGACTGCCTGATGCTTAAAAGAACAAAAATCATTTTCCAAAGCTAAAAGTAGCCTGGTGTTTGGAGGGCAGGGAGGCATCTCCCTTCCAACCTGCTGGCTGAGTCACAGCTATTTATTCTCCTTCTGTAGAGGTTTCTGATAGACTTCTGACAGGGGAAGCAAGTATGCCCTGGAGTAAGGCACTGGTGGGGCTGCACTGGGAATGTACAAATGCTGTAGGTACAAGAAGCATGAAAGACGAAGGGGGAACCTGCAGGAATCTCATCCCCCCTTTTCTCAGCTCTATGCTTAGCAGTGGCATACAAGGAAACACCTAAAGATGGGGTGTTCCTCCTTTCCACACCCAGAAGGCGGAAGCTGAAATGGCCATTAGACCATTGGAACATTACCTCGTTGGAGGGAGCTGCAAAATTTGCCAACAAGTGCCAGCATTTAGCCACCAACCTTGGGTTAACCCAACACTAATAAAGCAATGGTGGGGCCCCAGAACAATTTCCGGGTTTGAGGAAATGTCTCAAGTTGTACATACTTATCCTTGTCCATAGATACCCTTTGAGAAAGCAGGCCAGATAGGAGGCATTAGTCCTCATAGCCAAACAGATGAGGATTGCCGATTCAAGGTACAAATTTTTCATCTGCCTCCAACTAATCAGCAGGCCTAGATCGCTGACAGGGGTGCAGTTGGCTTTCTCCACAGCTCTCGGCTATCCCAAACAAAAAGCTTAATGGTATAAGCAAGAAAACGGCAGCTGAGACTCACAGAGTGGGCCTAGGGTCCTGTTTGCGGGGGGGCGGTCCTGTCCAGGAC